TCACACTTATCTATATTTAATTACAAACCGGAGGCTTTAGAGAAACAGTCTATAGTTTGTAACACTAATGGGATTTGACTGCTGTTCTTTAAAAACAACGTTGTGTCATTTAGGACATATGACTAAACTAATTTAAAATTTGTCCAAAGATAACACAAGTACACACAAAATACAGTTTGTAAATAAAAGTATTTATTATAAAAGTTTAAAAAAAATAAAAATCCAAGCTTACATGGCCCTGTGTGAAACCTAAACCTATTAACTGCTTGGGCCACATTTTGCAGCAACAACTGCAATCAAGCCTTTGCCAACTAGCAATAAGTTTTTTTACAGCGAATTCTGACCCACTCATCTTTGCAGAATTGTTCTAATTCAGCCACGTTGGAGGATTTTCGAGCATGGATGGCCTTTTTAAGTTCATGCTACAGCATATCCATCAGATTCAGGTCAGGACTTCGACTAGGCCACGTCAAAATCTTAATTTCGTTTTTCTTAACCCATTCAAATGTGAACTGTGTTTTGAATCATTGTCCTGCAGCAGAACTCAGGCACAGCCCCAGACAATTACATTACCACGTTTCCCTGATTGTACAATGTTCCTATTCTGAAATGCTGTTACATTTACAGCAGATGTAATTCAGTTCAATTCAGTTTTATTTATATAGCGCCAAATCACAACAGAAGATGTTTCAGGGCACTGAACAGAAACATTCACATAAAGCAAATTAGTAAAAGTTCACTATCTAAGGAAGGAAACCAGCAGATTGCGTTGAATCTTCTCTTCGTCACAATCTCCCATCCCAAGAAGGCACAAAGGCAACACTGGAAAGGAAAAACTCCCTTTTAACAGGAAGAAACCTCCAGCAGAACCAGCTCAGGACAAGTGGCCATCTGCTTCGACCGGCTGGTGGAGAGGACAGGAAGGAGAAAGAAACGAACACAGAATGGCAGGTCCAGATGTAGGTGCAGGTGAACCCCCATTGGAAGAAAGACCAAAAAAAACATGTCAAGGATAGAAATAAAAAAATACAAATACAAAACAGGTAGAGTAAGTAAAGACAGCAGCAGAGTGAAGAAATGTGGTAAATTTGCCCTCCAGCAATCTACGCCAATAGCAGCATAACTAAGTGGGCGGCTGTGGCTGAGTGGTTAGAGCAGTCGTCCTCCAATGCAAGAGATAGGAATTCAAATCCACCAGCAGTCACATGCTGAAGTGTCCCTGGGCAAGACACTGAACCCCTCATTGCCAACGCTGTGTGTCCCATTGGTGTATGAATGTGATCTAAATCACTGATTAGTCTCTTTAGAAAGATTTGTTCAATTAGCTTTGTAGAGATCTAGTATAGTTCTGTATGAATGGGTCAATGACCTTTGTTAACCTTGAGGTTTACAGCCTACGCATTTGAACAAACTCCTCCTAGGGATTTTGCTCAATTGGTTTCAAACTTAACCATTTTGTTTATAAGACATGGGGAACAAAAAGTTATCAAAACGGTGCGTTTTTGATCATGTTGAAGGGGCGGGGCCAGACCTCAAAATTTGACATCTCGCCATAAAAAACGAAAAGCTAATAGCTCCTACAAGAAAACTGTCTGAAGCATCAAACCCTCAGTGATTGTTCTACATCTGGTCAGCTGCAAGACTGAATGGTCAAATCATGGCATCACTTAAGTCACACCCACTGAGAACAAGATGTGTAAAGTATTACGTTGAATGGTCCCTATCTCACCCCTGTGACCTAATCAGCATGATAGTGTGTCCGGTGACCGAAGACATGTTGGTGTAACTTGCTCTCCAACACCAACAGTTTTCGGTGGAGCATGTGGGCGTTGCAACGTGGCGAAGTAAGACTTAACTGCATGGCCATACGTCGGGCTCTAAATTCCACAGATTTGAGCTGAGGTTCACCAAAATCAGTTTGATCGATCATTGTTCACCCCTTGAACAGGAATCCATGATAAGTGGCCAATAGCCTCCACAGCGCCCCCTAGAATATTTTAAAACTTAAGCCCCAAGCCATTTTTTGACAGGTGTACAATCCAACAATTTTCAGTGAGGTCATCTGAACAGTTTCTCTTTTTGTGCTGAAACGTTTCACCTTCCATCCAGAAGGCTTCATCAGTCAAGGAAACACACAACACAAAACTGATTCTTCCCCCTAACAGCTTACTCTAAAGTGGAACAAACCAGTTATGTTGGTGTTAAGATGGTCTCTTTAGCACAAAAAAAAGAGAAACTGTTCAGATGACCTGACTGAAAAATGTTGGATTGTATACCTGGATTATTGAGCATGGACTTTGTTGTCTTCAACCAGTTTGACATGACTGTCGACGAGGGAGAGGGCCAGCACCGGGGGAGGGGCCATGCCAAAGAGACCATATATAATACAATATATATATATATGTATGTGTGTATATATACAGGTCCTTCTAAAAAAATTCGCATATTGTGAAAAAGGTCATTATTTTCCATAATGTAATGATAAAAATGAAACTTTCATATATTTCAGATTCATTGCACACCAACTGAAATATTTCAGGTATTTAATTGTTTTAATACTGATGATTATGGCATACAGCTCATGAAAACCCAAAATGCCTGTCCCAAAAAATTAGCATATTTCATCCCACCAATGAAAGACAAGTGTTTTTAATACAAAAAACACCAACCTTCAAATAATCATGTTCAGTTATGCACTCAATACTTGGTCGGGAATCCTTTTGCATGAATGACTGCTTCAATGCGGCGTGGCATGGAGGCAATCAGCCTGTGGCACTGCTGAGGTGTTATGGAGGCCCAGGATGCTTCGATAGCGGCCTTAAGCTCATCCAGAGTGTTGGGTCTTGTGTCTCTCAACTTTCTCTTCACAATATCCCACAGGTTCTCTATGGGGTTCAGGTCAGGAGAGTTGGCAGGCCAATTGAGCACAGTAATACCATGGTCAGTAAACCAGTTACCAGTGGTTTTGGCACTGTGAGCAGGTGCCAGGTCGTGCTGAAAAATGAAATCTTCATCTCCATAAAGCTTTTCAGCAGATGGAAGCATGACGTGCTCCAAAATCTCCTGATAGCTAGCTGCATTGACCCTGCGCTTGATAAAACACAGTGGACCAACACCAGCAGATGACATGACACCCCAGTGACTGTGGAAACTTGACACTGGACCTCAAGCAATGTGAATTCTGTGTCTCCTCTCTTCCTCCAGACTCTGGGACCTTGATTTTCAAAGGAAATGCAAAATTTACTGTAATCACAGAACATAACTTTGGACCACTCAGCAGCAGTCCCAGGCGAGATGCTTCTGACGCAGTCTCTTGTTCAAGAGTGGCTTGACCTGGGGAATGTGGCACCGGTAGCCCATTTCCTGCACACGCCTGTGCACGGTGGCTCTGGATGTTTCTACTCCAGACTCAGTCCACTGCTTCCGCAGGTCCCCCAAGGTCTGGAATCGGCCCTTCTCCACAATCCTCCTCAGGGTCCGGTCACCTCTTCTCGTTGTGCAGCGTTTTCTGCCACACTTTTCCCTTCCCACAGACTTCCCACTGAGGTGCCTTGATACAGCACTCTGGGAACAGCCTATTCCTTCAGCAATTTCTTTCTGTTTCTTACCCTCTTGCTTGAGGGTGTCAATGATGGCCTTCTGGACAGCAGTCAGGTCGGCAGTCTTACCCATGATTGTGGTTTTGAGTAATGAACAAGGCTGGGAGTTTTTAAAAGCCTCAGGAATCTTTTGCAGGTGTTTAGAGTTACGTCGTTGATTCAGATGGTTAGGTTAATAGCTTGTTTAGAGAACCTTTTCATGATATGCTAATTTTTTGGGACAGGCATTTTGTGTTTTCATGAGCTGTATGCCATAATCATCAGTATTAAAACAATTAAAGACCTGAAATATTTCAGTTGGTGTGCAATGAATCTGAAATATATGAAAGTTTCATTTTTATCATTACATTATGGAAAATAATGACCTTTATCACAATATGCTAATTTTTTGAGAAGGACCTGTATGTACATATACATACATATATATACATACATATGTATATATATGTATGTATATATATGTATGTATGTATGTATATATATTTATGTATACATATATGTATGTATGTATGTATGTATGTATGTATGTATGTATGTATGTATGTATGTATGTATGTATGTATGTATGTATGTATGTATGGATGAATATATATATATATATATATGTATGTGCATATACATGTGTGTGTATGTATGTAGACCCCCAAAAAATGAGAATAACATGGAAAAGTTGTTTAACTTCCATAATTCCATTTCTTAAAGTTAATCTTTAATAGATGATAGATTCAGGGGCACAATTTCATTGATTTAAAGTATTAATTTGTTTATTTTTACATAATTTGGGCTTCCAGGTCATGAAACCCATGAAAACAGGAATTCAAAAAATTAGAATACTGTGGCGAAATGAGCCCAAATGTTGCAGGGCATGAATGTTTTAAACTAAGTGTGACACTAATCATCTACTAAACTCAAAGCACCTGCAAAGGTTTCCCCAGGTGTCATTAAATTGCTTCAGTTTGGTTGGTTGGGGCGGCTGTGGCTGAGTGGTTAGAGCAGTCGTCCTCCAACGCGAGAGTTGGGGGTTCGAATCCACCAGCAGTCACATGTCGAAGTGTCCCGGGGCAAGACACTGAACCCCTCATAGCCTCTGATGTGTGTCCCATCAGTGAATGAATGTGATAAAGCTCTGATTAGTCTCTTTAGAATGATTTGTTCAATTAGCTTTGTAGAGATCTAGTATAGAGCTGTATGAATGGGTAAATGAGGCACAGATTGTAGTGTAAAGAGCTTTGAGTATCTTGAAATAAGATAGAAAGGCGCTGTATAAGTACAGTCCATTTACCATTCAATTGTCTCAGTTCAATATGGGGAAGACTGCAGACATGACAACTGGCCAGAAGATCATCATTGATGCCCTCCATAGGATGGGTAAGACACAACAGTTCATAGCTGAGGAGGCTGGCTGTTTACAGAGTGCTGTGTCCAAGCACATCAATGGAAAGTCTAGTGGAAAGGCAAAATGTGGCAGGAGAAGATGCACCAGCAAAAGAGATGACCGTGTGCTTCAGTGGATTATCAAACAGAGAAGATCCAGAATCTGGCAGAGATCCAGAAAGAGTGGAATGAGGCGGGAGTCACAGCTTCAAAAACCACCACATTCAGACGCATCCGGGAGATGAATAGAACTGTCGGGTTCCTCGGGCCTCTTTTCAGATGAAAGTAAAGTGTGCCTTTCATTCGGAAATCAAGGTCCAGGGGTTTGGAGGAAGAAGGGTGAGGAACAGAACCCATACTGCTTCAGGTCCAGTGTGAAATATCCACAGTCGGTCATGATGTGGGGTGCAATGTTCAATGCAGGTGTTGGTAAACTCTGCTTTCTTAAATCCAAGGTCACAGCAACAGTCCAGTGCCAGAATATTTTAGAGGACTTCATGATTCCTTCTGCTGAGGATCTGTATGGAGGTGCAGATTTCATCTTCCAGCAGGACCTGGCCCCTGCCCATGCCGCTAGAAGCACCAAAACCTGGTTTGATGCCACAGTGCTTGACTGGCCAGCCAACTGGCCGGACCTAAACCCCATTGAGAATCTATGGGGTATTCTCAAGAGGAGCATGAGGGGCACCAGACCCAACAACAAAGAAGAGCTGACATCAAGCATCAAGGAAATCTGGGCTTCCATAACTCCCAGTCAATGCCACAGGCTGATTGTGTCAAAGCCACGTCACATCGAGGCAGAGATTAAGACAAAAGGATTCACAACCAAGTATTGAAGATTGACATATCGTTTTGAAAGTACCATATTTTGATTGTTGTGATCCTGATTTATTTCTTCTTTTTTTTACAAAAACTGAGTAGTAATGTGGACTGAGGTCTTCACAGTATTCTAATTTTTGGAATTCCTTTTTTCATGGGTTTCATGAGCTGGAAGCCTAAGTTATGTAAAAATAAACAAATAAATACTTGAAATTGTTTAAATTGTGAGTCGTGAACCTATCATCTATATCTATCTTTTCCATGATATTCTAATTTTTTTGGAAAGGGTCTGTATTTATATATATATAATTTTTTTTCTTTGAGCGATTAGAATAAATTATTTCACGCCCCGCCATCCAGACACAAATGAAGACTTTATGCTTTTGCCCCTGACTGTGTTTGCATGCCTGTCACCTAAAAATCATATTAACCAGAGCACAAATGTTAATGAAACTTGCAGAAAGTATTCATTATACGTACATTTACAACCGGTCAACTTTTGTAACATAACTTGTGATTTATTTCAAGGCATCATGAACAAAGTTTTAGGTAATGTTTGTGTGAGTCCGCCGACTAAATTTGCAATTAGTTTGCTTGTTTGAGTGTTGAAAACTTTTTGGGTGTTAGTTAAGTGAAATAAAATCTCATAACAAAAAAGTAACTGCATTCTAAAGAGTCCGAACATATAAAAACAGCCTGTGTTCTGCTTATTTGAGCATTTAATACATTCTCTAGTTTACTTTGTAGCTGAATAGTCTGCTCAGTTTTATCCATCCATTTTCTTTACCCGCTTATTCCATTTTGGGTCACGGGGGTCGCTGGTGCCCATGTCCAGCAATCACTGTGCGAGGGGCGGGGTACACCCTGGACAGGTCTCCAGTCCATCACAGGGCCACATAGAGACAAACGAGACAAACAACCATTCAGTCTCTCACTCACACCTAGGGACAATTTAGAGTTACCAATCAGCCTAACATGCATGTTTTTGGTCTGTGGGAGGAAACTGGAGCACCCGGAGAAAACCCACGCATGCACGGAGAGAACATGCAAACTCCACCCAGAAAGGCCCCTGGACCGGGATTTGAACCAGGGACCTGCTCGCTGAGAGGCAGCAGCTCTACCAGTTGCGCCACCGTGCTGCCAGCTGCTCAGTTTTATATTCAATTCAAATTCAAAAATACAGGAGGACCGCGAGGCCCGCCGGATCTGACAGCAAGCTGGATCTAGGTGGACTGATCGGTATCTGTGACCAGATTCTTTGGTTTCACTGCAGGAGATCCTTCCTGCCCACAGCTATCAGCATCTATAACAACTCCTGAATGAAACCAGGATGATGAGCTACGACAACACTTAATTTCCCTCTGGGATTAATAAAGTATATCCCGCCTCCAGTGAATCAAATTAAAAAGGTCTCGTAGCTACATTTGTGTATAACACCAAGCCTCTTACGGTGCCACGGCCGAGTGTACTGAAAAGAATCAGAAACAGGTGTTGTAAAGTTTAATGGCCCAAAGAACAGCAAAAGTCAAAATTATTGTTTCAGTCCTCTGATTTATTCCAGAAGCAGCAAAAACATCTACAGTTCTCACCAACATGTAGCAGCACATGGACAAGAAAAGCAACCATACTTTCAAACAAACAACAACAAAACTAACAAAAAATATATATTTAAAATCAACAACACACTGATCTGTGATTTCTGCAGGTTCTTCTCTCACATCCTGGAGCTGAAGTCCACTCTTCTGACCAAAGACCTGCTCACCTCTGACAGGGAACGACAACCTGCACACACACACACACAAGCACGTGCACACAAACACGCACACACACACGAGTTAGTCAATCATCTGTGTTTTGTTTTTTATATAAAACATATCTACATATTTACTCACGTTCCTGTTTATAACTTTGTTTATTTTTTATTCATGACAATAATATAAGGAGTAAAAATGGAGACTGAAATTTATTTACACCACCTCATGTCAAACAAACCTGAAGACGGAAAAAAACACACTGATTTATTACTTTCACCGATCTGAAATACTTCACAAAGCTTCATTACTTTACTTTATGAGCCACATGGAGCTTATTTTATTTTTATTTTCGATTCAAACTCTGATGTCTTTAGTGTCAACTCATCACTCAGATCTTTACAGGTCCTAAATGGACATGTTCTCCACAAATACAACAGAGTTAGGCCTTAAAGAAAATATCTAAAGAAACACCTAGAGTATGCACTGGGGCATCAAAAATATTTGATTGAAAAATAAATAAATAAGCAGAAATCTCAACTCATCATCATCTACTACTACAATTGCTACTATTATTACTACTATTACTACTACTACAAACTACTCACTACTCACTACAACTACTACTAGTACAAACTACTAACTACTAATTGCTAACTACTACTAATATTAACTAATTCTACTTCTACTTCTACTACTACTGCTACTACAAAATAGAAACTACTACTACGAACTACTAGTAACTACTAGTAACTATTAACTACTAGTAACTACTAACTACTAGTAACTACTAACTACTAGTAACTATTAACTACTAGGGGTGCTGAAAAAAATTGATTTTTTTTTAAATAATCTAGATTCTTAGTTCTGGCAATTCTAAATTGATTCTAAAGGCCCACATATCGATTTTAAAATGTGTTTAAGTTATCTTTTTTCAGCTCCTACTCCTGAGTATACTGCATAATGCATTACGTGTCCGCTCAGCCGCTGTAGATTTGGGCCGTGCTGGCCACCGTACAACAAGTTGTTAGCTGAGCTCCCTTTATCTGAATGGAGCATGCTAGCATGGAGGAGGGGGACAGCGTGATTCAACCCGCTTCCTCGTCTTTAAAAATCATTTCAGATTCTACAATGTTCCAGGGGAAGACAGAGCTTAACAAGAGCACGGTTGTTTGCAAGAAGTGTAAAATAAAATTATGGTACAGATTATGGTACAGTATTTCAGAAATATGACAAAATGCTTGGAAGATGAAAGCAAAAGCATCCGACCAGCAAACTCTGCAACAAACTTCAAGGCTTCCCCAAAGGCTGTGAAGATTTCCCTCTCCATCTCCTGCTGTATCACTAAGGATTTACGGATTAGGATTTTTTTTCTCTCACTGGCTCTCTAACGAGCTGTACACATTTCTTGCTGCTCCCTGTTCTCCTCCTGCTTTTCGCTCTCTGTCTGTGTATCAGAGCAGCTTCTATTTTTTACACATCTTCCGAAATGAAAATCATTGTTTTGGATCTGACCAACTGGACTTTCAACACAAATGACAAAATCTTTTCAACAAAGCGACAGGTTCCTGGAGAACCCTCATCTGCTCGGACGAGACGCATGCAGCTGGATATATCTCTGGGGGTGATGTGTCTACCTCTGCTATCGAACAAGAATGCCAGAATTGCATATAATTTATGCAACATTTATGATAACAGATTTCCTGTTTTTGGAATAGTCTGGATGCTGGTTTATCAACATACAACGAAGATGGCTGCAGCTAATTTGGCCCTCATCAGGCTGCTGCGTATGTGAAGGTTTGGTTCGTGCTTGGAGGACTCAAAATCAGCTGATTTATGAGCAAAACCGTAAGTTGGAAGTGATTTGAATTGCAGGCCACCTGCGGCTTTGGGACTCGTCAGCATGGAAACAACCTTGAAGAGTCTTGTAAGCACGGACCAGCAGCATGCACCCTAATCTGGCCATTTTGGATCTTGGAAATATCGGTAAGACTCAAAGGCAGACAAGGAAAAAAATAGTCTGCCTGAATAAGTCAATAATTGTGGTTATCTGAATATGACTCCCCTGTTCGTCTCAAAACAGGCCAACTTATCAATTTCTCCTGGGAAATGTGTAAACTAAGGAAAAGCTTTGTCGATCCCCCCCCCCCCCCCCCCCTCAATGAGGCGTGTCTCATGAACCCAGAGTAATAAGACCCGCCTCACATTCAGGAAATCCAGTTCATAGTTTGCAGCAGCTACAACGTGAGGACTGAGTTAGCAGCACTGTGGCTAACAGCTAACAAACTTTTCATCTAAACATGTCGCTGTGTGGAAGTATTTTACACTAAACAGCACAAAACAAGACAGCAACGTGCACTGTCTGCAGAGCCACAGCGCCACATTAAACTGCGTTAAAGTTAGTTTTACGATGGACATTCGAGCTCCGTGGCTTCAGTGGGGCGCTGCTCTTTGCTCAACACAAAACAGGCGACTCGATCCCGGCCAGCCGCGTCCAATCTGCCCCGCTCAGTCTGCCGTCTCTGAGGAGGGACAGACTGAGCACGGCTGACTGAAATCAGGCTGCCTGCTTCGGACTGAACCAGAAGAAGACATCGCTGAAACCATGGAGCTCAAATGTTTACAGAGAAGTTGCTAAACTTCATCATGATTAATGATCAGCCACTATCAGTTGTAGAAAATGAAGGATTTCTCTGCTTGATACTTGATACTTATCAGTACAACAGTAGACAATCATAAAAAAAAGTGAATTCAAAATTACAATAAAAATTATATATATAAATTTAAAAAAGAAACAGCTACATTATAAAGTGATGTAAAATACTTAAAATAGAACATACCTGTTGGTTTATGCCATGAAAGCAGATGTTTAAAGCCATTTAAAAATAAATTAAATTCATTTATTCATTCATTTAAAAGAAACAAAATAAACAGCAAATTCATCAAAAAGAAAACATTGAATGAAGAGTGCAGAAAGAAGAAAAAAATTCTTATCTGCCCCTTATTTAAAAAAAATAAATAAATAAATTTAAACAATCACTTAAATTAATCACTTTCATATCCACTTTAAAACTAGGAATAAAACAAACATGTTTTGTGTTGGCAGAATTTAATTCTAACTTTAAAACTTATCCAACATTAATAAAACTTACCTCAAGTTGCCTTTTTGGACATACATGCATATATTTGTACAAACTGTACTTGAGAGAAGATTATTACAGCCTCATAAAATCAATGATGATTATGATATTGGATCGGTATCGGATCGGAAGTAAAAAATAATAAATAAAAAAAAAACTGGATCGGTTCATCCCTAATCAGAACTGTGCCGGCTGACCATCATCTTATCAGGACCATGGACTATCTGTTAGTGCTTCATGGACTGCCTTGTCGTAAATGTATATATAACTTGTTCATAAATGTGCTTGCTGGCAGAGTTTTTTGATGTCTTAAATTGTGTCCTGTTAGGACAAGGTATGAAGAGATCTTTTTTGTAATGCCGTTATACTCTCCTAATTGTTTTCAGTGTGTTCTCTCCACAGACTCTTGAGCTCCTGCAGCAGAGTTAATCACGCTCAGCTGCTGGCCATCTCCCTAATTACCTCCAGGACTATATGAGGCTGCAGACTTGCTTCATCCAGTGCTGGAGCATATCTTGTTAAGGGTAGTTGTGCTCCTGGCCTTTCAAGTGTTTAGATATATTTTGAAATACTTACCTGTGTGTCTTCTTCGCTTCTGACAGACCTTGGTTTTTCCTGCGCCTCCAGTCCTGGACGTTTTATGCAAACCTGTGGATTGATCTGTACTTACCGGAGCTCAAGTTTCTCCTCGTGGACTCCAGCCAAACTACTACCCCTCCTCCCTCGACCTCCACGCTCCACCCGTGCATCGACCTCTTGCTGGAAATTGGATTTTGGGGCGGCTGTGGCTGAGTGGTTAGAGCAGTCGTCCTCCAATACGAGAGTTGGGGGTTCGAATCCACCAGCAGTCACATGCCGAAGTGTCCCTGGGCAAGACACTGAACCCCTCATAGCCTCTGATGTGTGTCCCATCAGTGTATGAATGTGACCTAAAGCACTGATTAGTCTCTTTAGAATGATTTGTTCAATTATCTTTGTAGAGATCTAGTATAGAGCTGTATGAACGGGTAGATGAGACACAGATTGTAGTGTAAAGAGCTTTGAGAATCTTGAAATAAGATAGAAAGGCGCTATATAAGTACAAACCATTTACCATTTATATCTCCATCCTGCGTCACCCCACCTGTCATTTACAGTAAGTAGAATATTATTTCCCATCCATCATATCATCTATCCTCCAACCAATAAGACACTAATCGTCTCCCCTTTTCCCATCCAGGGGTTTTCCAGTTTCAGCTCCTGTGAATACAAGACTGTTAATTATTGTTGTTATTATTAACACTGTAAAATAAATCCCCCTTCTATTTATGATCCTGAGTCTGTTGTCCTTCAGTCTGTTATTTCTGGGTACAATCCGTCAATATGACACTAATGATTTTGCCCCTTTTTTCTATCTAAAAAAATATATTCTGAAAAGAATAAGAAGGCAGTGCTTTATAGCAGCAGCTTTGTGCACTCCGCCCATCTTTTGAATGGCTGTACGGACATATTCTTGTATCTCGGTGCAATGATAATAAAAGCTTATTATGATTCTGATATATTTTTAGTGATAAGACTGAACCACAGCACTACCATGAAAGAAAAATAAAGTGGGAGAAGCTCTGATTAATGCACCAGCTCAAAAGTAACTGTTCTATGTCGTATTGGCTTCGCCCTTTAAGGCTGTCGCTGATGGGTTTATCCCGTTATGCTCAAGCATCATACTGAAAAAATTAGTCCACGCCCACCTGCTGTGTGGGCCCCACCCGATCCGTATAAGTTACATTAAGAGCGGGTAATCAGCTCCCATTTTTCTTCAGCAAGCTAATAAAAAACAACTGACCTTCAACGAGATGTCCAGCTTCAACACCATCCGCTTGTGTCCCTCCTGCAAGACCGGTTACTTGCTCAG